AAAAAAAAAAAAAAATGGTAAAAAATGCAGTAATTTCTCTTCCTGACTTAATTCAATTCTTCAAAAGGGCAATCTGCAACTCAAGCAATGGACTGTTACTGGCGAAATGGCACAAAATCGCTTTAAAAAAAGTAATAGCACTCCTAAACACGCCACCGGGGACAGTTTCCATATTTTTAAGACTGACCAGATTATTCAGTGATGGTATATTAAAAATTGTGGTTACTTGGCAGATGCTTTTATCTAAAGTGACTTTTAGTACACTGTGCAGGAGCAAACCACCTGGAGCATTCTGGGACTTTTTATGTTGTTATACAGTGGTTAATGTTAAGGTTTGGGGCTCAAAAATGTCTATATAGCATCAGATTTATAACGTAAATCAAAAACAAGTATATAAAGCATAAAAATAAAAATATTCGTACACCCTCCTAATTCTATATAAATACATAAAAAAATAAAAATGAAAACAATCTGGAAAATTTTTATTCTTGTTTTGCCCTACCATTACAGTTCTTTATGTGTGTGTATATATAATGAAACTATTATTATTATTATTATTGTATTTAAAAATACAAATAATTGTAATTATTAATCAATCACATTTAAATGAGAAAACAGACTTTAAAATGTAGATGATAAAAATCATAATTTTATAATCAATAATAACATCATCAACATTTTATATGATCATAAAAAATAAATGATAAAAAAAACAATTTAAAAACATAAAATCTTTCAACTTTATATTTATTTATATATGTTATTTATGTTTTAATAATTGATGCCACAGACCCCAAATATGATGATCCCTCATATATAGACCTATTTATAAAAAATAAAATTCCCTCACAACCCAATCCAATAAAAAATGAATAAATAAGTAAATAAAAATATGAATTAAGAAATATATAAACAAAATATTTATATATTTTTTATGCATACCAGAGTACTATTCGATGTTTGTATAACTCCTTTAGTGAATTGAGCACTACAACAATGCACAAAAGCACATGCAAATAAATAAATAAATAAATACATAAATAAAAACATGCCATCACAAAACGCATTTTTTAAAGTACATTTTTCCTATATGATGCTCCTGGTGGTTTGACATAAAGCTTCTAAAAAATTCTCATTAAATATACAAACTTTGTCACATGCAACTATGTAGTCCAGCAAACGCATACTGTTCGTGCAAATATTTTATTCACCGTCAGAACGAAGGAAACAGTAAATCATATCATGCCCACTTGTATGTAATATTCATGTGGTGCGGTTCAAACCGCTTTCACAGACTCCACTGATTGCCGGAGGTCAGCAGGGCGAGCTGTAAATAATGCTGGACTTCAATTAAAGCAGCTGATGACAAGACTGAAAAAAAAAATAAAAATCCTCACAAGGCAGGTAGACATGCTACATCAATCAGGTGGTTGGATCGCAGCAAACGGTCGACAGTGACACCTCTCCCCGATTTATCTCAGAGCGAAGGACTATGTTTTTTATGTTTCACACATCCTCTTGGATTAAAGCGAGATCTAATGTCCCATCATCTTTCCAATCACATGCTCACGGACCAATGTCGGGAAGCTACTTTGAAACTGAAGCTTGTCAAGCTCATGATATATTGTAGTTCAACTACAGTCAAGCTGCTGTTTGGAAAAAGTAGTTAGAAGCTACAAGCTGCAAGCAAAACTTAGCAAGCTACATTAAAGCAAATCCAGGGGGCAATATCTTTTTAAATATAGGACTATCAGATAACATAATTTATATATTATATTAAATAAGCCAAGTAATGTTTTCTAAACCACTGCTTTGAACTTTATAGCCAGTCATTTAAATTAATCCTTATACAACAGCAATAAAACAATTGTTCATTATGAATGTTTCAATATCACATCACAGTGAATTATTATTATTATTATAATTAAACATTTTATTAGAGGTCGGTTTCTTCATTTAAATGAAATGGAATAATATTAACAATTATTATAATATGATTTTTAACAACAACAACAACAATAATGTTATTTACAAGTAATATTATATATTTAAAAAAATATTGACCCATCAAGTAGAGGGGTCAATATTGTTTTAAATATATAATATTACTTTTAAAGGTGACCTATTATGCAAAAATCACTTTTATAAGGTGTTAGAACACAGTTGTGTAGCCACAGTGTGTGAAAACAACCAGCCTATAGTGGTAAAAATCCACCCACTCATTTTGCTATAATCCCAATAAATCATAAACTGTCTCTCCAAATGAGCGGTTACAGATTTCTCCCTATGTACACGTCATACTCGGGAAAGTCCCGCCCATTTGTGACGATCTCTGCCCTATTAGCATAGACACAGCCCTGAGTGAGAAGCAGCAGTCCGCTATTACTGTTTTCTTGCTGTACAGCTGCTGGAGATACAATGTCAGTGCAAAAGAGGCATTAAGTGTCGTGTGTTGGGATGCACCAAGGAACATAGGAGTCTCCATAGACCGCTGAGGACACGGTGGTTGTCCCGGGAAAAAAAATGGAAAAGTCCTATATGTTTGTGCTAATAATTTTACGCCGGACTGCCTCACAAACAAGGGTCAGTTCAGCGCTGGAGTTGTGCAAAGATTGCTTCTGAAAGAGGGATCGATACCAATGCTTCGTGCTCGGATGTCCAGACAAAGTAAGCATAGGAGTCTCCATAGACCGCTGAGGACACGGTGGTTAAATTTCCTTTTCGAAGGAAATGTCCCGGGAAAAAAAATGGAAAAGTCCTATATGTTTGTGCTAATAATTTTACGCCGGACTGCCTCACAAACAACGGTCAGTTCAGCGCTGGAGTTGTGCAAAGATTGCTTCTGAAAGAGGGATCGATACCAATGCTTCGTGCTCGGATGTCCAGACAAAGTAAGCATCACGCGTCATATTTTGTTTTCCAAAAGTGCTTTTTGGC